GGGCACGATCAGCTCCCACTGCACCCGCAGGAACTGCACAACATGGGGGGCACGAGACAGGGACGGGAGACACGGGGGCAGCAGCCCAGGAGCCACAGCAGGAGTCACAGCTGGTGGCTTTCACAGTCACCCGTGTCCCAGTGCTGCTGCCCTGCCATGGGTCACCTCCAGCAGCCCCCAGGAAGCCACGTCACAGAGGGGGGAAATGGAGCAAACCACCCCCAAAGACCCAAGTCACCCATTGGCATCTGCACCCTGTTCCTCACCAGTGCCACCCTTAGCTCATCATCATCACCATCACCACCATCATCACCATCATCATCATCACCATCACCACCATCATCACCATCACCACCATCATCACCATCACCATCATCATCACCATCACCATCACCATCATCACCATCACCATGCACACAACAAGGGCACTGCCTGTAAGGAAGAAACAACAACAAACAGCAGTAATGATTTTCCCAGTGCTCTGGCAGCAGCTGTAACATCAGCAGTTGTAAAAAATCCGTTCATAAATAATGCAAAATTGTTATTTACCATCAGAAATAGCAACAGCATTAGTAAAACAGGCCCAGGAAGAAATAATGTGATTCTGGAAATCATGAATAATTGAGAACCTCTGATTCCACGCGATTACTTCTCTGGCAGGGCAGCAAACTTGTACTCAGCTCCTCTGAGAAGAGTTTTACTCCGTTCTCCCAGCAGTAACAACCTTCCCCGTGCCTTTGGGAGCCTGGTGGGAGCCCAGAATTTTGGTGGGTGAGGCAGAGCTCCTGTAAATACAACTGAGGATGTCACAGAGCAGAGGTCTGGTACCTGCACCAGGTTTGCACACCCGGGGCTGTTGATGGAGGATGCCCAGAAAAGATGTTTTACCACTTATCTTCCAGCTCCAGGGGGCTTTGGGAAGCAAGGCATCCTTCTTGCTGCCAGACAACCCGAGTGGCTCATCCCACAAGACCCCCATGACCACGTTTTGATGTACAAAACATGGGAAATGTTTTGGACATCAGAATCTTGGGTGGTCAAAATAGTAACGAATTGCAAGCACACATGTTTGATAGATGAGCTTAAAACATCAGCTCTGGCTGAAATACTCCTGTCAAAACATGCCTCTGTCAAAACATGGGTTTTCTCTCCCTCGCCCCGTGTTTGAAATGTTAGTTTTTCTTAAAAAAAAAACCCAACTGGTGCTGGTAAAACATTTTAGTGAGAATAGATTTGGTGTTGTCATTCTAAGTATAGATCAAAAAATGCCCTTTTTTTTTTTTTCTGAGAAAATGTGGGTAGATGGGGGAAAATAAACCTCGTGTTTTTTAAAGTTCATGCAAAACAAGTGCCATTTTCTAATCACCTCTACAAACCACAGTGGCCCAAACCCCCCAGCCAGAGACTTGAAAGTAAAAATACAAGGTCAGATTTTGCACTGTGAGTGAGATTTCATGGGCCTGAACAATATCTCACAGGACTTGCCAAGGAGCCTTCACAGGACACTCCATTCTCCAGCTGAACCACCCAACACAACCAGCAGCAAATCTTGCTCTTGCTGGATGAACCAGTGCAAGACATGGGTAAGAAAAATAAATTTTCTCCAGTCACTCCAGTGTGGAATTGCATCCTCCCTGCCAAAGCTTCCCCAGGAATGTGCTGGGGCTCCTGGTGTGGGGCTCCTCAGCCCTGAGCGATGGGAGCCCCAGCTCCGGCGGCACAGACCACCAGTGGGGAGGGTGAGGAGGAGGAAAGCTCCCTTCTCCCTTCCAACCCAAACCATTCTAGAATTCTGTGATTCTGCAGGACCCAGAACTGCCATCACAGGAGCCCAGGGCACTGGGACACCCGTGTGCCCACGATGGAGAGAGACACTTTTTAGGTGTGGATAAAGCTGGAGCCACGTGTCTGCCTTCTCTGCACCAGGTTTTTACCATCTGGAGGCCGGTGGCTGGTCAGGCTGCCTGACTCCCTTCTGGAGTTATACTCTGCAGCTCCCTGTTCCCTCCTGGGGCCTGAACTGGCTGCACCCCAGCACACACACATTTTTCACCCCCCTTGCTTTCAGCCTTCTGCAGCCCAACGCTTAAAACGTGCTCCAGGAGACCTCGTGGTCTGAGCACAGCCAGTGCAAGGAAAATAAAAAGCAAATAACACAAGGGAGCACGAGCTGAAAGCTTCAGCGTGTGAACTGTCAGCCATTTTAAGGTGAGATGTTCCCACTGCTGATGCGCTGTACTGATTTGGGACCTATAAAAAACATCACCAGAAGGTGTGGGGTTGTAGGAGACTGCAAAGCCCTGCTTTGATTACACACGCAAGCAACCATTAAAGTCAGCATCAAGGAAATGCAGCGCATGAAGACAAATAACCCCGAGCTCATTTCCTCTGCTGCGGCTCCTGATCGATGGTGCTGGGCACAAACCACACCAGGGAGTCAGCACCAGCCTCTGGGTCACCCCTCACCACTCCAGCGTGGGCACCAGCGAGTCAAATGCCACCCTGCTCAGCGCTCCTCGAGCCTAGCAAGTGAAGGATGGACCAGCAAACGAGAAGGGAAAACAATTAAGGTCAAATTAGCACAGGCCAAATCCTGCTTAGCACGGAGTGTTTCCCTAAGCCCTGGATAAGCCCTCGTGCCGAGCCACACACATCCCTCGGGCACATTCCCCACTCAGGGATGAGTTGGACCCTTGGCAGAGGACCAGCCTCCCTCAACGCCCACCCAGCTCAGACCCAGGGGAAATCAGGACCCGGGTCCCTCCCCAGTTTATCTTTGCAGTTGTCAGTCACAGGGAAGTTTCCAGCACAGATCTGCATAATTTACTGGAGGGTGTGAAGACTAAAGAACTGCTTTGGGCACTGCCAGATCTCCCACGGGACCACGGCTACGGCCACAGAGGGAAGACCTGACGCGGTTCCTGGCACAGAGAGAGGTGGTCTGATGCTGGCTGTAATAGGTTTATGGACATGTCCACCAGGCTGATCAGCTTGGGAGGACGCATGTTGATGACCACATGACTGATTTTTACTGAATTACTTTTTCTAATGTGGCAAGAGGTGCTGGAACACAGCGCCCATTCAAAGTTCCTAATCTAGTACTGCAATCTGAGCACATGGCACACCAGCAGTGCTTGAGACCAGTGATGACAGAAAATGATAAGTTAGAACCACTTTCAGCTCAGATCCAGTGAAACTTCCCTATAAGTCCATTACCAAAAATGTTAAACTTAAGTTCTGCCTTCAACCTACTGCCCATGGAAAGAGAGAATTAAGGCAGAAATCTGGTGACCCTGCTGAAAAGTGGCCAAGACCAAAGTCTGAAGCAGTTAAGATCATGGTAATGACTCTCAGAATCACCATGGGCTCCTTAAGTGCCAGAGCAGCCCTGGAGCTCTTCTTTAAGAGCCCCAAGTGCTCAAGAGGCAGCAAACCCCCTGAAGAGCTGCCCAGAGCTTACTCCCTGTATTTCTCGCTGATGTCTCCTGGGGAGTTCTCCCGGCTATGCCAAGCAGCCACTTCCATCTGCATCTGTAGGACGCCTGGAGCAGGTGAGGTCTGCTCCCAAAAGGGAGCTTCCCAGGCTCCAACTCCAAACCTTCACAGGAGCTGTGTGTTGTATCCCAGCAAACCCACACTTCCACCCCATAGCACCTCAAACCAGCCCTCCCACAGCTGCACACGCACACTGTGGGTCATGTTGAGCTTCTTATCCACCAACACCCTCAAGTGCTTCTCCTCAGGGCAGCTCCCAATCCATTATCCCAAACAAGCCTGTATTTGGGCTTAGGATTGTCCGAACCCACATGAAAGACTTTGCACTTGGCAGTGTTGGACCTCAACAAGTTCACACAGTCCCACCTCTCCGGCCTGTCCCGGTCCCTCTGGATGCTCCATCCCTTCTCTCCAGTGTCAATCACACCACACAGCTTGGGGTCATCTGGCCCAGATGATGAACTACAAAATTATTCAACTTTAAGAAATAAGAGGCAGCAGATCAGGTCAGGCAGTTTCCAGTGTTGCAGGAAAGGGTTTTCCAGCTGTGTAGGCACCGCACTTTTACTGCTGCTCTGACTGAAATCATGGGGATTACTGGAAACATTTCTTAGTATATTTTCCAAAACTGCCTTTAAAAGCCAAACCTAAATGTACGTCAAGAGAACAATTCCCCTGCAAAGCTGAGTGGCCACTTGAAAGCCTGGCTGGCACGGGCAGTGACAGCGAAAGGAACTCATGACTCTGTGGGCATCCTTCGTGAATATCCAGTCTGTTTTGCTGTGCAAAAAATGTCTCAAAAGGAAACCACAAGAGCGATCACATCTTCATCTGACAAACTGCATCAGACGGAGGGGGAAGAGATGAATGAGGAACTGTTAAATGGTTCTTTCCAGCTTTTGATTTTGCAGCTCAAGCCAGGAGCGGTTTTTTCCCCCTTCAGATACTCAGAATTACTCTGTGAGGGGGAGGTTGTGGTGTGAGGCGGAACCAGGAATCCCCTGTGGCCATCGCTGACATTTGGGGCTTTCTGTGTTGAAGTCACCATTCACCTGCCAGTCCCTCAGAGGTTTGCCAGCACAGGGTCTGAATGCAGCCTCGAAGCTGCTGCTGGAGTCACAAAGAGGAACTGGAGCCTCCTTTGGTGGTGGCTCGTTGGGAAGCCCCAGCAATGGTCACCAGCACCGAGTCGCTCACTCCAGGCACATGAGACTGGTCTCAAATCCTTGTGGTGATTCTCCATCACCACCTCAGCACATCTTGGGCAGATCCCTCCTCTTTTCCCCAAGGAATGTCACACACACAGCAAGGGTGATGCCTCCAATGTGATGTCCGACTGCCCAGGGTAACCACGTTTTACAAGGATGCACCACCAAAGCACAGGAAGGAAAACCATGTGAAGAAAGCCCACCCCAACACCTAAACTTAGGGCTTTTTGAATAACCATCCAGGGCATGGGCAGCCTGGATGTCCCAGGATGGCAGGCAGGGAAGCCTGGGAAGGGCTGTGTTTGCTTTGTGCATCCAGGAGCAGCACGGCGGGCGTTGGTCCGTGCTCCGGCCACAGCACTGCCAAGCTCACCCAGGGCAGCAGTTACAAATGAAGAGAACAGAAAGGCAGTAGAGACCTCAGCAAAGCCTTTGGCTGCCTCCTCCATCCAAGATCTCCTCCTGGACATGGCTTTTGTCTGGCAAGAGCAGCAGAGCAACCGCTCAGAAGGAGCCCGGACACGCTCTGCTCTACCAAACCTGCAAGAAACAGCAGGTGGGAAGGGAACCCCCACTCACACCTCCCACCAAACTGCAGTCCCAGCTCACACTGGAAAAGAGTTTTAAGTCTGAAGTGGTTTAAGACACAGGTAACTGGACTGCAGCAGCCAAGGAAAAGCCAACCAAGGCTCCCCCAAAGTGGAGCAGCAATGGAGAAGGGTCCCTGACAGGTCTACCAGCAAATGTGAGACCTGGGAAAAGGGCTGCAAAGGGCTTTTACTGTGGAACTTCCACAGCCAAATCCCCAGCCCACTGAAAAGAGTAGAACCTCTTACTTTGCTCACTGGGCTTTGGAGCTGACTTGTATCCAGTATTGCAAACGTGGATGGGACAGCACCGCACACATCCCGTGTTTGGCCATATCAGTGGTTCCTACACTTGTTTCGAGTTAAGTTGATGTGTTTCTGCAGTTGTAAGCACTTGGCTTTCACCAGTTCCCTGTGAACACAGAGCCACGAGACCAGGGACTTTACCACTGAATAAGCCAGCCAGCAAATACACACAAGACTATTTTCTAAGCTATCTCCATATTCCATATCCTGGTCCTGCTTCCCAGCAGTGTCCAATCCCCGAAGGGATCTCTGGGAGCTCTCTGGATGTGACATGACAGATTTATCTCACACGGGCCCAACTCACCAACAGCGGGTCAGATTTATCCAACCATTCCCCAAACCAACACCACTGTCAACAGTTTGCCACTGCACTCAAGGAGGATCCAGGAGCATCCAGGTGGATCCAGACCAAGTTTTCTAGACTGAGGCAATGCCTCTAGGACACAACTGCTGCCAAGTGCCTGAACCCTGCCCAAAATGCCCCGTCCACATCAAGCTGGATGCCCCAGATCCATTCCTGGCCCAGCTCTGCTCATCCACAGCCTCCAGCCAAGCACCGGAGCTGGGCAGACCCTTCCTACTGGGGGCTTTTGGGAAGGACCTGGTATTCCCGACCTCCCGAGGCCATGCATACCTGCAGATCTCAGCAGAAAAGCCAGGCTGGGGAGGCAAATTAGGGGCTGCTCTCACCCCTGGGCATCCGGGCCCCCGGAGCTCCAGAGCTCAGCTCCCTGTGCTGCCTGGTCGTGGACCACCAAAGCCTTCCCCGAGTGGCTGCACAGCCCATCCCACCGCCTGCTCTCCGCTCCGCGGCAGGAATTCACGGACGGGAAATGGCCAAAGCCCATGCCATCCCTCCAGCAGAACGGGCAGCTGGGCAGGGCTGGCTCCCGGATTTCTGTCACACACACGCATGCACGGAGCGTGGAAGGCAGGAAAATGTCCTCTGCCTCCCGCT